CAGCGTCATCATCATTAAAAGTTTTATCACGAAGGGAGTTGTCCAGGGATCGAAATAAGTGGTAATCCGATGGCGCGAGATCAGGACTATATGGTGGGTGTAACATCAATTCCCAACCAATATCCATCAATTTTTGCCGAGTGGACAAAGACGTGTGCGGCCTAGCATTGTCCTGCTGGAAAATGACACCTTTACGATTGACCAATTCTGGTCGCTTTTCCTTGACCGCTGCATTCAATTTGTCCAGTTGCTAACATTCACGGATAATAAAAAATAACATAATAATAATAATAATAATAATTTTATAATATAACATTTTGCGGATATCATAAAAATGGGAGTGAGAGACATCTATAACTGAAATCGGCAATTACTTAGTTGCCAACCCAATATAACCGAGGTAGCGTTAGAGATGTCATATGTATTTCTTAATTGTTTGCAAGAACTCGAAGTTAAACGAAGGAGGCGCTATACTTCTTAAGATTGTAGAATTAAGAATATCTGTAAAAACAATATAGAATATATTGTTATATATTTAAATATAATTTTATCCAACTGTGCTCCGAAGATCTTGAAACGGAATACTTTTTATTTTATGCTAAAATCAACTAATTTTCTATCGAACTTGATATTTCGACATTTTTCTTGTCGAAGTTTTTAAAGAAAAATAATAATGGAAAATATTGAAGAAATTTTTGCCGCAATAGCACGTTCCCTATCATTGGAGGAATTCAAATGCGAGCGCGTTAACGGTACATATCAGGTAATTACGAATCATTACATCGTCGATCACATGCAACCGCCTAAACTGTAACTATACTCAATATGCCGCGGCCGAGTAATAATAATCAATTTGCGGCCTTCGCTGTTCACAATAAATTTATTATCGCGGGCCGTTGCATTACATGTACATCAGCCCGGCCGATAGATCGATCGTTATTCTAGCACCTACCGAGGATCTATTATACATCGATAGACTTGGATCGCACAGTCGGACCGGTCTCATTCGTTCCTCGCTGTTTGCATACCATCATTGGATAGATCGTATAGCGAGATGATTGCGTTTGCACCTATCGCTTGAAAAGATTTTGTAAAACACAGATTTTTCAGATTCTACAGCTTCCTGTATCGCTCTAGGTGGCTTTGTAATAAATAGTTGGAAGGATGATGGTATCCTTGTAATATAACAACTTCTCCAGTTTTGTTGTTGTTGTAGTTTTATTGCCAATCGAATTGGATGTTTAATCCCCTCGTTCGAATTGATTTCTGATTAGCGAACTGCACGCATCGTTTCTTTTTTAAAATGACCGTTATAGAAACTAGTTTACGACGAAAAGGAGCACAGATCTTATTTTCTGTACTTTTATCTGTTCAATGGATTTTGTAAGCATCTAAAGATCAAAAATTGCTGGCTTAAATGTACGAGCATGTCGACGATGACGTCGACGAGCACATTTAAATGAGCCGTTTATTTTGAAAGTGGCTTAAGTCACTTTACCGTAATGTGAAAAGTTGGTGATTTTTTAATGTTTATACGAAATTATTTATACCGAGAAAAATATCAGTATCCTGAGATAACAGATACAAGTATAAATCTTCTCGAAAGTTAGCATCCATATTTTTAAACGTGTTAAAACGCAAACCCTTAAATATGTATATCGACTTCAAAACAAAGTGACTTATGCCACTTTCAAAATAAACGGCTCATATGGGTCCTTCCTTGCAAATTTTCAAGACGATCGCTTTAATTTCTACAGGGTAATGAAATTGATGTAATTTTGAGTAAGCATTAAGACATTTTTCCGAGAACGAGACACCTCGGCCCAGTTTCACGTATCATTTGTACCACAGAAATTTAAAAAAACCCTTAAATATATCGACTTAAAAAACAAAGTGATTTATGCCACTTTCAAAATAAACGGCTCAAACGATGTTAACCCTAGAAAGATAACCATATGACAACGTACGTAAAAGATAACCATACGCTTCAGAGGCGCATGCTTTTCTAAGGCGTCAATTTTATACTAACAATGGATATTTATTTAAGTTAATCTAGTCATTTTAAAGGCTTGGCATTATTGTAAAAATAAAATGCATTTATATTATATTTTTTTATATTTTAAGTAATTTTAAACTTAAATCACTAGACCTCTATGAAAAATTAACAAAAATCAACAGTCTTCGCAGGCGCCTCTGCGACGTAGGTTATCTTTCTAAAGCTAAGAAGAGTTTCCGATTTCCTTGCAGCGTGACATTTATACTTAATAACAACTATTGTGTACAAATGAATTCGTTGAATCACGGCACAAAGCAGTGTAATAAGAATGTGGAAGAGAAAAACTATTGCAAGAGGGAACGTGTAAAAAAGATAACTGGCACGCGAAGCAGGTACCGACGGAGGGGCTTCGCTTTTCGGAGGGAAAGTACCCTCGTGGGCGTAAACCCGTATCGTACGGGTTTGTTGCGGCTCATTTGTTGCGTATTAGCTGGGATTAATGAGCTTCTTAAAACTGCCGCCTTTTGCGAACAGCCAAGCTACTCCGAGTTTCCGAAAAAGGAGAACGAAATCAAATGAGACACGCCTACGGTGCTCGGAGCCGGGATTTCCTGGGATCGAGGAAATTTGGAAATTCACGGACTTACGCTTCCAACGGAACCGAACGTTAATCGATTTTATTTAACCGACTTTATTACGTTGCTTCCTAAAGATGCGATCGCTAGACGCATGTGGATCTTCGTGCATTCGTGACAAGTGCAAAGTGAAATGCGTCGATGCATTTATTTTCACAAAAATGGATAACGTTCGCGGCTTAGTTTCGCCGCAACGAATCTTCTAATTAGCGAAAAAATTGTTCTTCCAGTGCATAAAGATATTTGCGGTCCAGCGATTACATTACGTTGGAACAAAATTTGTATTACCCGGTCTAAAAAACAACCATGTTTACGTTAGATTCTAGTATCGACTAATGCTTAAATTGTTTCAAAGAGTCGTGGCTTGCGTGGTATTTCGTGAAAAAGTAACAGAAACGGCGTCTCGTAAGAATGGTAATAATTGGACTGCCGATCTTCGTGCAAAAATCAAAAATGATCGATTGCAACAAACACGAGTCAAATAGAAATTTCGTTCGTTTTTTAATAACTCCACCGAGTTGAAAATAATAGATAAACGTTCTTATATATTCTTTTAATATTTTCATTGTTCATAATTTCACCTACCCATTTTTATCACAAATGCATCAGATTCGCAGCCTAGTTATGTTTCATTATTTTTACATAATCGGATACAGATGGAAACGATTACGGGTGAACAATTTGTTTATGGATGCGGGTCCCCCTGTTAAACGAGATTTCGTTGCAAAAATCAAAAATGATCGATTGCAACAAACACTAGTCAAATAGAAATTTCTTTCCTTTTTTAATAACTGAAAATATTAGATATTAGATTATAACTTGAAATTAGAGATGATTAGATTATAACTTGAAATTAGAGATGATTAGATTATAACTTGAAAATAATAGACAAACGTTCTTATATTCATTTAATATTTTCATTGTTCGTAATTTCATCTACCCATTTTTATCACAAATGCATCAAATTCGCAACCTAGCTATAATGTTTCATTATTTTTACATAATCGGATACGGATTTCGTTGAACGCTAATTTAATTCTTTTTACCGTGTCAACTTTGACGGTGCAAATGCATCGCGATTCTAAGTGTATTTTGTTAACGCGCGGACACATGGTAGCAGAATGGTAAACGTATTTGTGAGAACTCCTGTAGCGATTCTAAATGGAACAACAAGCGTGAGGACCAACGTAGATGTTTGCGCTGGTAAAAATAATCGCGTCCAATAAGATTCGTCAATAAAGATGTTTCGCGTGGATCTGGCGTACCAGGCACGTTAGCCGCGAACAGTATCCTGTACGCGGCACGTTGAATGCAAGAACTGCTTCTAACAAGTTATTGTTACCTTTGTGTCTGTTATGCAATTGCCCCTTACCGCTCGCAGCTTGTTTTGAATATTTGCTGTTTCGATGAATGTGCTTTTTCGCGTAGCTGTGTAAAATTTAAAGAAAATATATTCCAACGCCGGTTGAACATTAGATGCGATACGAATCGCATAAAACAATATTTGACGAAGCAGGCGACACCTAGGCGCGGATAAAGTATTCCGTTTCAATCGAGAATACTCGACATTTTCATTCCATACTATTCTGTTATTTGGATATTATTTTAATTATGACGTTACGTTGCTCTCTAATTTTATATTTTAAATATATTCGCAACGTTGATGTTAAATATCAATTACAAGAAAAATAAAAAAATTACCGAATCCTTTCGGGAAACAAACAAAAACTGATTCGGTCGGATTAAAGAGACAAACGGCGAAACAGTGAAAATTGCTGAAAACTATAATTTATATGAATACATGTTTGTCGCTTATAAACGGTCCTTCCAATCGAACGATATTTCAGAAACGGACGGACACAAAAATCGGTACTACGAATGTCTTTACTTCGAAATGGGAAGCAGTACGTTGTTCATACGTATATTCCAAATAGCATTTTTCATGTCACGCGATACTCGAATAATCATACATTGGTTCAATTTTTGGATCTAATATACTGTAACCGTGCGTCGACGCGCCTTTGCTAGCACGCATCGAATGTCAAGAGCGCGGCGCCAAAGTCCCGTGACCAAAAGGCGCTCGACGGAGCGCCTTTCTTTCGTTTCCGCCGATCGTCTTTCGGCTCCTAACTTCCTGAGCCCCCAGCAAAGAGACGAAGGAAGACGGGAGGCGTGCCCCGTCGCGCGGCTTCTACAAGGAGATACCCACTTCCCTGCGCGGATCCCTTCCACTCCTCGGGGATCCCTTCCACGTGGGTCCTAGGAATTCTCAGCCCCCACCACCGGGGCCCAAGAAAACTGGGCAGCATGGTCCAGACCACGAGATCGCCAGGTAAAGCCAGTTTACGCAACGCTTCCGTACGCGAAGCATGCACACGGTGTCATCCGGAGGATCCCGAGAGTCCTAGCTTCTTGACAACTTGCGCGACGCCTGGGTGAACGATGGTGGTATCCTGCAGCAGAGCCAGCGGCCTTGTTTGACGATGTTCTGACCTCGGGAGAGCGGACAGGTCCGTGACGCCCGTGTCCCGAGTCGTTCTCGTCGCGAGGATATCGGTCATATCGATGAGATGACGCTAGACTAGACGCCAGAAGCTGCCGGATCTCCGAAGAGTTCCATCGCGTTTGAACGAACCCCCGTCAGCGAGATCCAGATCGTAGAGAAAGCATTCGAAAAGAAAAAGTATAAAGCATGTCAACCTACGCCAGCTTCCAACAGTACGACCTGCTGGACTCCGAGGGCTACGGATCGGCGAGTAGTCCAGAGTCGAATCCGCGGAGCTGGACGCACCAGGAGATCTACCCTCAGCCGCCGAGGTCAAGGGGTAGCAGCTGCGGCAGCGTGAGCTCCGTGGACTGTCAGAATCGCGAGTACCAGGAGATCGGCGCCGCGGCGAACGGCGGCTTTCACGTGTCCGCGACCGGTGTTAATTTCTCCGAGTTCTATGAGGGCTACTACCAGCAGAAGGGTTGCCGAGCCGACCATCGACCGGACCACCAGCCGAACGGCGCGAGGCCCGCCGCGAAGGATCACGGCAAGGTCGTGTTTAGGATGAACGAGCGCATGGAGAACGTTTACGATTGCGTGGCCGGCGGTGTCGAGTTCGCGAACGAGGCGCCGGACGGCGAGCAGAACATCACCGGCGGCATCTCGCCGAAGCTGGAACAAGGCCCCGGCAACGCGTTGCTCGGCAATTCCAGGTGCGACTTCGGCCAGCAGAGCCAACAGGAGAGCTTCTTGGCCGCGAAGAGTTACGGTGTCTCGAAGCCCGATGGTTTTTTACCTAGAAATAACGGCAATCCGTACGGGCAGAGGGGCGACATTCTTTATTTGGGCGCCGCGTACAGCGTGCAGAGGAGCGAAAGCTACGGGGCCCAGAGCGGCCAGGGCGGCAAGTGCGCGACGTCGCGGTATCACCAAAAAACGGACGCCGGCCTGCACGTCGCGACGATGGAGTACGCCGGCCAGAAGACCAAGGAAACCATGCAGAAAATAAAGAACGGCACACCGGGCATCGAGGTGCTCAGGAAGAGGAGGCTCGCGGCGAACGCGCGCGAGAGGAGGCGGATGAACAGTTTGAACGACGCGTTCGACAGGCTCAGAGACGTCGTGCCCAGCCTCGGCAACGACAGGAAGCTCAGCAAGTTCGAGACCCTGCAGATGGCACAGACCTACATCGCCGCCCTCTACGAGCTTCTGCAGAGGGAGTGAACACGGCTGATCTTGGACCAGCTTGGCGACTAGAACCGAGGCAGCTCCTACAGACCCTTCGACGGTGAAGCGTCTGGGACAGGTTTTCAGCTTGGCTGTTCAGCCATTGGACCAACCGTTCCAGTGTCAGTTTCGTTGCGTTAAAATTATTCGAAGCAGCTAAAGAACCTAACGAAATATTTGTCAATCGAAGCACGGTTGGCACATAGCAGTAACTTTAATAAAGCAACGAGGGTGAAACCCTCTCTTGGCACTGGAACGGTTAGGACGATGACGATTGGAGAAACACGAACGGATCGGAATGGATCTAGAGCCAGTCGTTCGCGTAACGATCAAGAACGTCCTCTACGAGCGGATCAACGAGAGGATCGGAGCACTGAGAGCAACAAGTATTCTTCGTTCGTTGGAATGCTCGATTGAAGTACAAAAATATTCAAAGCCGCGCGATCCCCGTTCGTACGTGACTTCGGCCGCAAGAGTATGGGCACCTTGTCGACGGAGAAGTATCAAGCGCATCGCCAAAACCGGCGTCTCTCAAGGTTTCCAGTTCTTGTAACTGGAGCAAGGTTTTTTGGTCGAGGTCTTAAATTGCGAGGACACGGGCCTCTCGACGTCGACCACGAAAGAGCCCCGTTGTCGTTCACCGAGATCGAGAAAACGTTCTTTACGATAGACGCACGGCCGACGTTTGGAACGGGCGGCGAGCAACGACGCTGTTGGCCGATCTATCGTCGATCGACCGGCCACGTTGATCGAACGAAACTGTAAGTACGAAAAAAAGCACGAGCGTCGGCGACGCGCGTGGACGGGACTCGCGAGAAACTAACCGTACGTAACGAGACTCTCGTAACCGACATTTCGGTTCCAAGTGGTTCAATTTCTTTTGTACCGATTTCGTTCCTCGCGCTTCTATTCGTTTCACAATTTCGGCACCCGCGCAACGACCGGTACGTTAATCCGATAGATTTTCTCTGTTTCCTTTTCAAGCGAAAAAACGTATTTTTGGTATTACGAGCATCGTGTCGCGATTTTGTACGCATCGATATTCATAAATTTGATGACTTTTCCTGTATCTTGAAACTCATTTCACGAAAAGATACACCTTTCGCGAGGAAACGATGAGCAGAAATTGTATCTAAATAATTAAAAAAAAACTCTCCCGAGCAGTCGTGTCTAACCGCGGAAATAAACGAACGGAGTAACATGAATTTATTTCTGCCGAGATTCGTTCCGACGCGCGCTGAACAACCGAGATAAATTGTTGCAGATGCGTAAATAGATCTTCGGATTCACGGGCGGAATGGGTTACCCGTGTCAACAATTATTCATAGCCGTTCGAAGAAAAGAAAAAATGATTCGTGTTTCGGTCGTCACGGATAGTTTAATTAGCAATAATTGCGGTGCGCACAAACGCGGTATACGATGCTCGGCGCTAATGCTTTTTCCTCGTGAGAGAATGTTACCGGATTCCGGCAGATTTTTCAGCAGATCGAAGTGCGATAGTATCGATGATACGGGAATAAAACGAGTCCGACGAACTTAGCACATTACCGTCGCGGCATGGACAACGATTCGCTGTTGTAATAGAAGATATGAGCCGTTTATTTTGAAAGTGCCATAAGTCAGTTTTTTTTTTTTTTTTTTTTAAATGAAAAGAAACCGTTCAATTGTAATTAGCGTTACCATTAACACGATTTTTGTTGAAAAAGTGACTTATGCCACTTTCAGAATAAACGGCTCATATTTCGAAGAACACCTAACCGAAGGTTAATTGATAAATAATTGAGAAATTTCGCGCATCGATTAGGGAAACTGCTTCATCGTTGTACCGTGAGTTAAGTTGAATACGAAGGTTGACGTGTCCAGTTCAGGGAAAGCATTGAATCGTAATTGTTAGTCGAATTGTATCGAAACAAATGCACGAGTCGACGTAGTCAACGTTTTATTTTCAGCATGCGGAAGTCTATTTATAGTTAGCTAGACGGTAATGTGCTATTCGCGGAACATGCGATTTGTAAACTCTGGATGTACGTGCAAACTCCGGTTTTCATAGTCTCGTTTCAAGAAGGAGTCGAGTGAAACCGTTTTCCTATCGATGAAAAATAACTTAAATACGCGATGATCCGCACTCCGGTGATCGATACGAACAGAGAAAGAAAAAGCAGGGAGGGAGAGAGAGAGAGAGAGAGAGAGAGAGAGAGAGAGAAAGCGAGTGTAAGCGTTGACAGAATTCGTTGTACAATACGGAATTGTAACGAGAGCGACAAAATGCGCGCGAGTCCCGAGTTTGAATTGTAAATAGTATCATTTTATCGTTAAACGTAGGCTCTGTGTAAATATCCGATTAGACGCGATTAAGTTATTGCGAGGCTGTATAGGTAATTATGTACATATAGAAATACGAAGGATTTTCTCCCGATCGTACCGATGGATCGCACGAGACTGCGACAGCGTTACATATTTACGTATGCAAATAAGATATTTGCGCCAGTGAGACTGTACAGTAGAATTTGATTTATCCGTGCTTATGGGTAACCAATTTAGTGTAACAAACTGGTACCATCTCGATGTATATAAATCTCTTCCTTTTTACCTTAATTTATGATTAATGTTATTCGTTGTANTTTTTTTTTTTTTTTTTTTAAATGAAAAGAAACCGTTCAATTGTAATTAGCGTTACCATTAACACGATTTTTGTTGAAAAAGTGACTTATGCCACTTTCAGAATAAACGGCTCATATTTCGAAGAACACCTAACCGAAGGTTAATTGATAAATAATTGAGAAATTTCGCGCATCGATTAGGGAAACTGCTTCATCGTTGTACCGTGAGTTAAGTTGAATACGAAGGTTGACGTGTCCAGTTCAGGGAAAGCATTGAATCGTAATTGTTAGTCGAATTGTATCGAAACAAATGCACGAGTCGACGTAGTCAACGTTTTATTTTCAGCATGCGGAAGTCTATTTATAGTTAGCTAGACGGTAATGTGCTATTCGCGGAACATGCGATTTGTAAACTCTGGATGTACGTGCAAACTCCGGTTTTCATAGTCTCGTTTCAAGAAGGAGTCGAGTGAAACCGTTTTCCTATCGATGAAAAATAACTTAAATACGCGATGATCCGCACTCCGGTGATCGATACGAACAGAGAAAGAAAAAGCAGGGAGGGAGAGAGAGAGAGAGAGAGAGAGAGAGAGAGAGAGAGAGAAAGCGAGTGTAAGCGTTGACAGAATTCGTTGTACAATACGGAATTGTAACGAGAGCGACAAAATGCGCGCGAGTCCCGAGTTTGAATTGTAAATAGTATCATTTTATCGTTAAACGTAGGCTCTGTGTAAATATCCGATTAGACGCGATTAAGTTATTGCGAGGCTGTATAGGTAATTATGTACATATAGAAATACGAAGGATTTTCTCCCGATCGTACCGATGGATCGCACGAGACTGCGACAGCGTTACATATTTACGTATGCAAATAAGATATTTGCGCCAGTGAGACTGTACAGTAGAATTTGATTTATCCGTGCTTATGGGTAACCAATTTAGTGTAACAAACTGGTACCATCTCGATGTATATAAATCTCTTCCTTTTTACCTTAATTTATGATTAATGTTATTCGTTGTATGTTCCGCGTTGTTATTAGATCATCCAATAAATTCGTACTTAAATTAGCTAATGCGAAACATCGAATGGAATTAAATGCAATTGAATTTAGTTCTGTTCGAATCGAAGAAATTTCAGAGACTGAAATTATATGAAACTTTTCTTAAGTGTAATTTGATTGCTCAATGTTAGGCTACGTATGACCTGAATGATCGTGGTCATTGAACCGCGAAAGTTCCTGCAAATTTACGCTTTCGCAAGCACGATAGAATTACGAATAAGTTAAATTCTTTTGTTTTCACACAACCGCTTTCAGCAAAGTAAAATGAGATCTTACGTTTGAGAATTTGTCGTCAATCTTGCTCCTAATAAATTCGTAAAATTGTGCGGTCCAACGATCGTTACCATATATATATATATTTGTTCAACGAGAATACCGCGTGTACCGATAAGAGCTTATCGTTGATCTTAGATGGAGTTCGCTGGTCATTTCGAAAGATTTCGTCGAGGTTAAATTGTGGTTCTACCGTATTTGATTGTAAAACGTTTGTCGTTGATCGAATTTGTTAAAATTCGTTCGTTCATAATTAGCTATCACCGAGGTAGGATGATGACGATTCGATGATCGAATCCTCGCGAAAGCGTCGACGAATATTGTAAAGTTAAGGAACGATGCAACGATCGAAGCACCTCGCAATTTGTACGAAACGACGTATTCCACGATCGAATAAGGGTTTCCCAGGCATACCAAAGAATCCGTAGGCGTTAAGGACGACATTGCGTTGCCCCGATTGTTTTTTCGACTATGAATAAATACATGTCTTTTTGACACGAAACGCGGACCAACATTTCTTAACCTGCCCAATTTCACGTTCGCGCGACTAGCGTAACAGCATCGAACGTTTAAATTAGAAGCAGAGTTTTCATTTAAATCGTTAGATCAGATTATTACGAATAATATAGGTCAGATATTAATTGCTCGACTCTTCTCGATATCCTTTAAAATCCGCGTAAAGTCGTCGTCGTCGTCGTTGCAATGAAATTATTATACAAAAGGTTTCGCGCAAATTTACATTTCTGTCAGCTGTAATTAATTCGATCAAATTTCAGAAGCTGTTCCGAGGGGAAAAGTGCTTCACTTATTTTATCGAACTGGCAAAAACTAAAATGATAACGCAAGTCACCGAAACAACGTTATATTCGTTCGTCGCGAGCCTGAAGAAACTTCAGCAGAACCAATCCACGCGTCAAGCCATACAGAAAGCAATAATCCTGGAAGCTTACAGTATACTCTGAAACTTCCTAGATGACCAACAAATTTAATGGAACTTGGCTTGTGCCGGTCTCGAGTGGAAATTGTTGGCGCACGACCTGACAAGTTAATAAATAATTTGTTCTTTTACCGACGCGATCCTTATTATACAATTTAAGAAGTATTCGTTTACGTACATGCACGCTTCACGCGAATGCAAAGATCATATCTTTTTTTTTGTTAATCGGGCGATAACGAGCTTTAACGCTATTATAGGTTGCGTTGGAAGATGAAACTGAAATCTCTCGTGACACTTGCGACAGTTAAAATTATCTATTGCCTGCGAGGTGGTAATT